GAGAGAGAGAGAGAGAGAGAGAGAGAGAGAGAAACTAATCGTGATCAATAGTAAAAATATTTGTTTCCGAATGAGAATCTAACCTTCAATTTATATGTCGTTTATATTAAATTAAAAATAAAATCAATATACCACATACAGTATAACAGTAAATAATTTGTTACAATTCATTGTAATAATTGATAGACTGGTATTGAAAACTCATTAAATCTCTATAATAAACAAATAACATTTGTTTAGCTGTATAGCTGTATGACAGCACAAAATATTAAAAATTTAAATTACAATTAATTAATAATTGTACGGAACGGATGCACTGCAAGTTTACACTGGGACATTCGGTATGCACTTTACCCATGCCATCACAAAAGCCATAGTATTTAATACATTCATATTGTGCTTATAATAAGTGAAGAATAATTACTGATAAAAAACGAGTTTTCATTAATTCAATGCATAATAATATATAATAATTGCTTTCAAATTATATATTCGTGTAAATAAATCATAGGAAATATGTATACAATCTATTGAATAGATATAAAAAAACAAAATTCTTGTGACTTTTACTTCTTGTGAGACAAATATTTTCACAACAAATGAATTCTTGACTTACTTTCTGTCACATCTATTCTCTCACTCACAAGATATGTAATGATAGTAAAAATTTTGATGTTATTATTAGTTAATTATATAATTTACACACATAATTGTTCATGGTAGTCAACAGTTTATAAATCATATTTTTAATACAATTCCCGTAAATTATTTGTGAATTTAGTTGTGTCTCAAACCGCTGTTTGCAAGAGATATTGTTTAACAAGTTCTACATTGTGTTCAATCAATCGTCATATAAATTACTCTCATTTTTGGCAATTTTTATTTTATGGAAAACAAATCATCAAATATTTTAATAATATTTTTGTAACATTGCATAAAAACTTTTATACGATGTCTTCAGAGCACAACTGGTCATCCAATAAGAGCCAATCGCTTCGGCGTCGGGTCTCTGAAAGCATATATCGGCCCAACTTTTACCGCCAGCGGAGCAGTAGTTGTGGTGATTATAGGAATCGGATTAACGGCACGATATGTGAGGATAATTACGGCTATACCGACGATACGGACAGCTCTGACGACCGCCGGATTAGGATACAAGTGATTAGACGCACGAGTCTGTCGGTCAATATGAATGGCATATCTCGGGGCGGAGTCGCGGCCAACGGCGGTGTCTGTCCGCTGGAAGCGGTCGATGAGATCGTGCCGTCAACGACACCGACCATCGCGCGGAAGGCGAGCGCCAAAAACGAGCTCATAATAAGCATACCTGTGCTCATCGATGACGACAACTCATCCATTAATAACGCAAAATTCAAAGAGGCTTTTGACCCGCCGTTCGCCCGCCGGGAGCCAGAAATGCAGTCTTCGTGGACTGTATTGAAGCAAATGCTGATACCATTCCTGATCGCTGGCATCGGTTCGGTTGGCGCCGGCATTGTGTTGAACTCTGTGCAGCACTCGGACTCATTCGTGGCAATCCCCCAACTGATCATCATGGTCCCCTCATTCCTCGGCCTTATCGGCAATATCGAGACCACTTTGGCCTCTCGACTGTCCACTCACGCAAATCTGGGTACTTTGGATGTGTTGTCTCAGCTCAAGGCTATGGTTGTGGGCAATGCGGCCGTTGTCTTATGTCAGGCGGCGTCCGTCGGTCTGTTCGCCGCCTTCGCATCGTTGGGCATATCGTATATAAAGACCCCGAAAGAGACCAATTTGGACCTGGGGCAATTAGTACTTCTATTATGCGCCAGTTCCGTAAGCACCAGTGTGGTAGCTAACGTGATATTGGCCACAGCAATCACCTTGGTTATTATTGTCGCCCGAAAAATTGATATTAATCCCGGTATTTATTATTTACATTTATTGTAATCATATTTTGCTTCAAAATCATATCCTTTTTCCTAATTTTGTTTATCATTTAATATACGTTTATTTAGGTAAACATTTATCAGATCCTTATTAATGCTTATATTTATTTAATTATTAGATGGTATTAGAAGTGAAATAGTATTAATTATACTGTATTATTGTAACGTTAAGGTGTTTGTTATTATAATTGCAATATTTTTAAAGACACATAAGTCACTAAACAACAATAATTATGATTTTTATTCTGATATTTGTGATACAATAATGTAATATTGACATAAGAAATCAATTTCATATAATTAACAGTAAACAATTAGTTCAACAGCTTATCAATACTTGGTAATTTTATTATAAGGCTTACCTAAGTTAATAGTTAACCACAATATTATTAACTAATGATGGCAGTGCTAAGTGACTTACCTTTTAAGTATTAATTAAAAATTATTATAAATATATTCAAAAATTGAATTAAAAAGTATATTTTATAGACTATTTGGCGTTAATTATATATTTTATTTAATAATACCCTCAAATTAAAGGATATTTTAAATTATATTAATTATAATTGAACACGTAAATGAAAATATGTGAACAATTATTGCAATACAATTAAATTACACAGAAATCAATGAGGCAATTGATTAAACACTTGTCTAAATTTTAAATATTTTATAATTTTTGTCTGAGAAAATTTTCCTTATAATGTAATTAAAAGTAAATTTGTTTTTTTCTTGAATCAATTTTGATTTAAACTCTTTTCTAAAGTTTTGAATTGAATATATGATAAATAATACTAACAATAGGTATGAAATTAGTTTTAATTGAAGGCTAGAAACTAATTATCTTATCAGACAATGAGACCAATGATTAGTATTAAATATGCATTTATTTTCATAACTCGTCTACTCTTTTGCATTAATAAACTTTTCTCAGAATTTGATTTTTAAGTTCATTAGTATTTTCTGTTCATTTGTCGAAAAGTGATTTGTTTTAAAACATAATAAAAGTACGGAAAGTACTAAAAAAGATTAAATATTCCTAAATATTTAGCATTAAATGATCTTATATTACTTTGATTTTATAAAATCTAATTTTATTATAAAATTTTTAATTTTATATAATAAATTATTGAATAAAAAATTAATAAATATATTAAACTAAATAAGTTAATTTTATTAGAGAATTAACAAACTATTATTTACTAAAACTTTTAATGTAAAGCACCCTTTTACTAAAAATAAATTACTTATAAAATTTAATTACATATAAAACTATATTAAAACCAATTGATAGATAATATCGCGACACCGATCGCGGCCTCGATGGGCGACGTGTGCACGATCTCAATACTGGCCATTATTAGTGATTTTTTATACAAAAACACAATCAATGGTCGGATATGGATAGCGGTCGTAGTGTTGACTGTTTTACTACTGTCTGCGCCCATCACTGGATTCATAGCCCGTAGGAATCGGTACACGAAATCAGTGATACTGACGGGTTGGACACCCATTTTGGGCGCAGTTATCATTGAACAGCCCGGGGGTCTCGTCATGGAAAGTGCTTTTGATAAATACGATGTCATGTCAACCTTTCAGCCATTGGTTAATGGTATTTAATACATGATAATTGTTTAATGAGATTTAATTGTAAAATTATAACAAAAGTTATTTAGAATTACAAATACATAATCAATCAATTTATTGATTACAAACAGGAATCGGTAGTAATTTAGTGGGAATACAGACGAGCCGTTTGTCAACATTTCTGCACCAAACGGCGCCCAAAGGAAAACTACCCAAAAGTAATCCGCGGGCGTGTGTCCAGCCGTGCGCCACATTCTTTGGCTCAGGTAAATATACAGTCCATTCAACAACAAAAACATCATAATGTAACTAAAAAACATAATGTCTACCCCACACAGACGTTCACGCTCGGATGGCCCGGCTACTATTGGGCATAACAGTGCCGGCACACGCCCTATACCTAGTGATCATACGGTTATGGCAGCGAAACTTCATATTCACGGTGCCGTTTGTGGCGGCATATATGGTGGCCGTCATCGCACAGATAGCTATACTGTTATACTTGGCTTATGTGAGTGTGTTGTGGGCGTGGAAACGACACATCAATCCCGACAACTCTGCCATACCGTTCACTTCGGCGTTGGCCGACGTCTTCGGCAACTGTCTAATGGCCGCCGCATTCACTTTCCTCAACGCTATCGACGACCCAAACGCTCGCTTCCGTGAAGTGATGGCCACTTCAGCCAACGCTACCTTTTCTACGGTATCTACTTTTGCCGACACAACCAACTCTTCGTTATTTTAATGATAGTTTGGTTGTAATTGTTATGTATTTTTTTAGTGAAGGTTTTATTTATTAGAAATTTTAATTATTTTATACATTATAAATGTATACATTATTTATTAGGTAATGAAAAGCATATTTTATTGTAAATAAATAAACAATTGAATATAAAAATGTGGTAAAATTGATAATGAAATACAATAAATATTTTTAAAAATAGAAATGATTTTGGTAAACAATACTTAATGTCAATAATTAATTAAATATAATAATAAGTATTGACATAAATGGGGTTAAATTGACCATATTTAATACTAAAATATAATAATTGGTTTTATTAGTACGAACTCAAGTAACCTTGGTCATGTTAAGCACACTTTTATGAATATTAATTTTTTGCAATTTGTCTCAAAATCACAAAAAACTTATCAGAAAATTCCCAAACCTTTGCTTTAATATGAAAACTATTGAGTGTTTAGTTTGTATAAAGCAATTGAATTAAAATTGAATGCAATGCTGTTTTTGTAAACCAAACTAAACATTGGCCTCAATTAAGCGATAAATT